TGTATACAGGTAATCTATATATACAGGTGGTATGTGTATACATGTGGTCTGTATATACAGGTGGTCTATATATACAGGTGGTATATATATATATAAAGGTGGTCTATGTATATAGATGGTTTATTTATACAGGTGGTCTATTTATACAGGTGGTCTTTTTATATATATGGTATATATACACAGGTGGTCTGTATATACAGGTGGTTTATTTATACGGGTGGTATGTGTGTTCAGGTAGTCTATTTATACAGGTGGTCTATATACACAGGTGGTCTGTATATACAGGTGGTTTATTTATACAGATGGTATGTGTATTTAGGTGGTGTGTGTATACAGGTGGTCTGTATATTCGGGTGGTCTGTATATATATACACAGGTGGTCTGTATATACAGGTGGTCTAATTATACAGGTGGTTAGTTATATACAAGTATACAAAAATGGTTTTAGATACAGGTGGTCTGTATAGACGGGTATACAATACTATTTTAATTCTACCGCTTCGGTAAATCCGTTCTAAATTTAGATGATATTCTATTTCATCGTCTTATGACATTCTCAAGGTTAAAGTGTACACCTGTATTCACTAGCAATAGACGTATTTGTAAACGTCAATTGTGCTCACAACAACAATAGGAAATGCCAAGCTAATCATAGGGAAGCACAACATGATCGGAGAGGAAGCAGTGATTAAGTGTAGGAACAATACTTTACCTTTTTATCTCAAGGACGTACTGTTTCGACTGTACAATTAGAGGAAGAAATCTTCCAACTATTATTCAGGACACCTGAAGCGCACAACCAAAACATATCGGAACAAGAGAGACGGAATACGAAAACATTAATTCTTAAAATGGTCAATTCTGGCCATTAATGGTTATAACTACACATACACTTTCTTTATACAATGCAGCACACCTCATTGCAGACAAAACACGGAGAATTCCACTGGAATCTTATATAGAACTGTAGTGGACCTGAACAGGTACGCTGCGGCTGAGAGGGTCAGAGCGGCAGTATTTTGTTAGGACGAATTCGCATTGCTTATTTTTGTTTTCATTGTCCCCCGGGAAATACGTTTGTGTGTGATATTAAATTGGGCTCCGTCTGTCTGTATATTCCTAAAACTCTAAAACTGTTTTACGTCTCTGTATAAAACTTTGTACACGGATCAGACTAGAGAGCCTAGTTGTTCCTTCAGTTTCCATTGGTGAATTCGCATTTACAATATTTCTCCTGTAGCCATGGACAAAATACCCAAAAGGCTTCTTAGATTTCCTAGGCACAAATGCATAATATGTACCTAAGTCATGAAACGTAGGCAGGTGTTATCAACTTCCTTTCGTCTTGATATCAACAAACAGTAGTCGACCCGACAAATTATAACTCTAATTAAAGATTTAAGAGAAGATCTTCAAACCCATGTATGACATTCAAACTGTTATCTCATAATAATGTTCCATCTTCTCGACTGCATTTAGATTGGCATATCCTGTCTTGAGTCTCGGTAACCGAACTGACCAACTCGAGCTCTTTTCGGGTACCCGGTTCAACCAGTTTGTCTGTTTATAAATGTAACATTTTCTGGTATAACACCTGGCGGACCTGCAAATATGTATGCAGGCCTTGCAAGTCTTTGTCAATGCTCGCCTGAAAGCAGCATCAGATTACTAGGTCAGACCTCCAACCGGATCAACCGTTTGGGTCCCAATAAACGAATCCGGTCAAATGACGTCAATTACCGGAATTGCATATATTAAAAAGTAGTGAAAATATCTTACAACTGCAAATTGTACCTAAATAGAGTATTTATGTCAGTACATTTCGTCATAATGCCGTTTTTATCCAAAGTCTATGTTTAATTGATAGGTTTTAGCATATTTACTGTAAGTAACGAGAGTGTCTCCTTCATCATTGAACACACCATGAATGATGCAAGCCTATCTCAAACGACGATTTTGTCATTCTAAAATGACCCTTATATTCGACAACCGAATACAAGTTTGTTTTACACATTAATATATAAATTAATAAAAATAAAAACGTCAAAATGATCAATCAGAAAATAAGCTCTCATATGTTTATTTTTGCAATTATAACATAACAACTGACTCCGTAATAAATCAATGAAATATAATAAAATGTCAGTAAATAATCATAGCTAGATATCTGTACTTCTTGTACAGTTTGTCCTCTCCTATTCAAACAACAGTGGTCAAAATTCCGCCAAGGCTCGGTCAATTCCGCCAAGGCTCGGTCAATTCCGCCAAGTCTCGGAGTGATAATCATTGATCCTGAACCCTGACTGAATTGGCAGCTATGTTTCACAATCAATAACGTATACAATCATTGCGTGTAAATCATCAGAAAAGAACTCATTTAATTAAAATTAGCGAATGCATACACATTATCATAAAACAGTCATATACATAAACATAATCTTAAACATAATAACAAATATTGGTGAGAATTTATATTTCTCTGCCCTATGCCAGTCAGATGTGACCATTCTCTAAGAACACAACATTTCAGGGATTATCATGTAGAGTTTTAAAGATTTAAAGATGATGTTTTCAAATGTCAAATACGTACGTGCCACTAAAATAAAACTTAGATAGAGCACACGCATTAGCTTTATAACTAATAGAACTTTAAAGTGATAAGAAGCCTAATCAAAGACCTATGTAGCTGCCTTATCCTTTATACAAACTTGTACAAAAATATACATATTTTGTTTTGTCATAATCAATAATAGAACCATGTTGAGTATGGTTCCATAAGGTAATGTTTCATTCTTGGTTTCGATTACGTCATATCGCCATTTGATACTGACATGCATTTTCTTCAATTAGGGTAAAATACCATAACTTTCGGTTTATGTATAAAATACCATTACTTTCGGTTTAGCTATAAAATACCGGCAGTTTTGGTATCGGTACTGAAGACATACGTGCATGAGTCATTGTTTGAGCGATATACCACGCACACTAAATATAGCATCTTACATATGATATTTGATATACAAAACAAATTGACAATACCAACAGGACAACGGCATACACACCGAATTCTTTTTCCTATATACATTTGTTGAAAAGATCTGCACGCACATGTGTTGAAGAGATCTGCACGTACATGTATCATACTTGGACTATATCTTATTCTGTAACGCCTTCACTCCCAATTGTCTTTATACCATTATATTGAAGGGCTGTTCATTTTTTAATACCATTCACGTTTTTGGGTACATACATGTATGTATATATGTACGTTTGCATCAGAAAAAAGGAGAAATTGTTATACTAATAATACCGTGCAAGTCATTTGTTACTGAAGTAAGTCCGTTTAAATGTACTCATGTGTGACTAAATTAACACTAGGTAAGTCATTTGTCACTAAATTAGCACTAGGGAAGTCATATGTGACTAAATTAACACTAGGTAAGTCCTATCTGACTAAATTAACACTAGGTTAGTCATATGTGACTAATCTAGCATCGTGTATGTCACTCAGGGTATATGAGTGATGTGTGACTGAAGTGTGACTGGACATCAAGTAACTTGTATGTGACTGAACAAACCTACAACACCCTGTTCACGACGTATCCGTTAGTTTAAACAATATTTTTATTCGGTAATCTACATGTTTAGGGGATAGTACGTTGTTTTGAGTGGCTATACTGGCGATTAGAACATGAAATTTGGGTTTAAACCAAATTTCATGTTCTAATCGCCATATAGACACGAAAAACAACGTAGTTGGTACAACCGACCACACAACAGTGTTTGCCGCCCATTGTTTTACCCCTGGAGCAAACCATACTGGCGAGCGCTCGATCTGTATGTTGACGAGGCGGAATATTTGGATTGTTCGTAAACGTCCTGTTACCATGTTTATACGACACATTCGGATTAATATTGAACAAGTTCTTACATTTCCATGTCAGTATGCATACCAATCGGTGCTTATCGACAAAATCGTTGATTATTTGTATAGATCTGTGAAGAGTTTTGTGTAAATGCATACGACACATGTGAAATGCTTGATTTGATTTCGGATCTAAATAGATGCCTTTACACGGATGGAACGAACGTTTCAGTAATAAATGGAGGTAAGAACAAGGAATGTGTTCTTTTTACCTTTTAATTCATTCAACAAATGCATTTCATCGGTCGTTTCTGTTCTGTTGCCTACTACTAGTACTAGCCTTATCAGCGGGATTTTGCTATGAGGCGAGTTTTTTGTTAGAAACGGGGCGTGGCTTAAGTGCGATGGGAGGAGCTTAACACGATTTACCATGATTCTATCCAATCAAAACACGCGTTGCAAACGAATCGTGTTAGAACCATGACATAAACGAATAGGGATTTGACAGCAAGTGCCTAGCTTTTGTAAGTCATTAAAGTATCATAAAGATTTTTATGATAAAAGTGCTAAATTTGAACTTTGATTTAATATATCATTATATTCGTTATTTGGCGTATTTTAACCTATAAATGTTCATTCAATCTATACCATCGTGTGACATAAATATAATTAATATCCTTGAACTATATGTGTAAATTGTTTCACCTGAACTTGTGTCAATTTAGATAAGTTCTATTTATGAAGCTTTTCCTTTAAAGTCGACATGTGTCATTGTTGTCAGATTAACTCATGCATTTACTTTGTCCATCTTATACCATATATCTTTCAACTTAATTATATTACGTAACAGGATTAACTGGTCATACCAGATCGGACACTGCATTCAGCCTCAGACAAAGGACAGCTAAATTGGCTTACCTGGTCGGGTACGGCCGAAGTCTGAAAGGCCGATTGCTATGAATGGCAGATGTCACTCAAACTATTTACTTAATTGCTTTTGTGTAAATGTACTCAGGACACGATAGTGATTTGTAACTAGAGTTAGGAGCTAGGCATCGGACTGTACGGGTGTGTTTTTGGATACTCCAGAAATCACCCACCGACCTAGAGAAAGTTATTTTAATAAATTTATATTTGGACCATACAACATCTCCAGAACTTCTACTTTTCAAATTGTATAACAATACCCCACAAAAGTGTTGTTATAAAAGCAATAGCCGTATTCGTTGTTTGTAATACTGATTCTGACTCAATATTACAGTAAACATAATCAATGCACTTCCAGATTTATAAACAAATATGTTCAACAAACACAAACGAGGTCAGGTTAGAAAAGGAAGACGCTTGGTACGGTACGTTCTTCCATACATACTCGGAGAGTCCAGTTGTTCCTATCTCTGTGGTCTAACTAGTACAGCGCGCGATGACTAGACATACTGTTGACGTCATTGATTCAAAGCAATTCATCTTTTACAACCACCCAGCGCAGGGATACAACACATATGGGCAGTGTGTGCTCCACGTCTGACATTATAAAGAAAGTTCGCAGACGACACATTAAACATGACGTCATCACCTTTCTTTATGTGTACTACGTCATGAAAGGAGAGTGAAGTGTACCCATTACGGGAAGGAAACAATGTCTTGGTTTGACCTATGACTTTTCTGCCATTAACTAGAGCCGCCAGCGTGGCCTGGGTTGGAAGTCTGACTCGCGATGTCTTGTACACCACGGACGCCATTATCAAGTAGAATCCACTAGGCCCACTCAGCTCCAGCTCCGAAGTGCGCTCATTACGGGAGATCTTGAAAATATCATCGGGCACGTTATTGCCTTGTTCGCTCCAAAGAGGTTTAACATCTGAAAGTGAATGACATCAAGCATAAAAATACTCCACAAATCACTGAAAATATAGCATTGGATATCTATTACCCTCCTTCTAATGCCGTTTTTGTCATTGAGAAATTCCTTTTATGTCTCTCCGAAAGGAGTAGAACTGTGTATTGTCTTTAAAAAAAATAGTTACAGAACAATCTTGGTAAAATAAGTGTCACAGAGTTAGTTTTTTTTCCTGATTACATAAAATTCAACTTAAACTCACAACATATCTACATTTGACATATGGGGTTTAATATTTCAACAGAAGGTAGTGTTAATTAATGCATATGACTTACGTTTCATGAAAATCTGAAAACTATTTCTGTGATAATTTGTAAAGGATTTAATTTTTCCAAATCTAGATTTTGTTCTTCTAAGAAGAGAACATTGAGCTATTGTTTTGTAGCGGTTTTGATATAAGTTTTCCTGTTTAGACACTTTAAGACCGATAATACAGAAATTAATGAATCAGCATCAGAAACAACTCACCACTTCCGTTGGTAGTGGGCAATGATAGGCCTAACGACACACAGTGTCGCGGCTCTACTCCCAGAGAACCATTCACAGCTTTTGATGCAAGGTCTATCTGTAACGAGAAAATCACGATATTTGATAAATCGTCGAGTCATAAGAAAACGGAAAATTTAATCCGGCGTTGTCTTGTCTGTTATACATGTTGTCTGTCGGTAAAACAACAACAATGTTGCATTTTATGTTACCATAGGAACAGATATATCATCTCTGACATCATTATTTGTTTTACACAGCCGTCAGGAAATAAACGATTTTTCTTCAATGGATCTAAAAATGTTTTCTATAGAGTAGTTATTAAACAGATCTGTGGAAATAAAGAGTGTTTGTCACTGGAAACGACGTGGTCTTCTGTCGGTCTTTGTGTGTCGTGTAGTGCCTGTTGTGTGCCGTGAGTGACTGTTGTGTGTCGTGTAGTGACTGTTGTGTAGTGCCTGTTGTGTGTCGTTTAGTGACTGTTGTGTGACGTGTAGTGCCTGTTGTGTGACGTGTAGTGCCTGGTGTGTGTCGTGTAGTGCCTGTTGTGCAGTTGTTAAGTGCCTGTTGTGTGTCGTGTAGTGCCTGTTGTGTGTCGTGCAAAGCATGTTGTGTGTCGTGTAAAGCCTGTTGTGCTGTTGTTTAGTGCCTGTTGTGTGTCGTGTAGTGCCTGTTGTGTGTCGTGCAAAGCATGTTGTGTGTCGTGAGTGCCTGTTGTGTGTCGTGTAGTGCCTGTTGTGTGTCGTGTAGTGACTGTTGTGTAGTGCCTGTTGTGTGTCGTTTAGTGCCTGTTGTGTGACGTGTAGTGCCTGTTGTACTGTTGTTTAGTGCCTGTTGTTTGTCGTGTAGTGCCTGTTGTGTGTCGTGTAGTGACTGTTGTGTAGTGCCTGTTGTGTGTCGTTTAGTGACTGTTGTGTGACGTGTAGTGACTGTTGTGTTTTTTGTCAGCAGTTGTCGTTTTTCGTCGGTCGTTTTTTTAGTGTTTATTAATGNCCCCCCTCCTTACAAAATGGAAATATCCCTGCCAGTCAAGTGTAGTCCTGAAAGAAGAAAAATCTATTTTGTCGCCTTACATCATAAGGTTGTCGTCTGATTCACTTGTATACATGTACAGTGTTAAGTTATTTAGTAGGCGGACAGTCTTATATCCCTGTATGCTAGTTATGTAAATCATAAATGAGGTAAGCTAATTAGGTACAGTGCAGATAACATTGTATGTATGCTTCATTTAAAACACTGATCACGGTAACAACCAGACGTTCTTATTTAATAAAAGATACGTTGATACAGTTATGCAGGCTTACGTAATTATGAGTGCAGAATTAGGTCGATCCAATAGTGCGTTTGGGCCCTGACCTTGCATGTTACTAGAAACATAGCAGTACGGAGAATTGAAGATTTCGTGGAAGCAACCTACCATGTCATATGCAAATCTAAATAATTAATTTGAATATGGAGAACGTTAAGTTGAGAGAGGTTGGAAGGGGTTTAATAAATATCAAAATACAACGTTATGGTTTGGTATGGCCTAATTTGTTAGACGATAGGTAAGCTTAATTTTAAAAATGTAATTATCACTAGTTACATTTGTGTGTGTGTATGTAAATATATTTTTTAGGGTCTTGAGACGATCAACTTGTATCATTTTACATTATATTTTCAATCTTTTACTTTCTGAAAATATTCTTGTCTAAAGTTTTGTATTAAATGATTATCTTTGAAAATTCCCTTAGTTTTAAGACGCATGAAAATTCAATAAGAATGATATTTTTTATAAAGATCAAAACTTAAAAATAAACTATATGCCTACATATATGATGTGATTCCAAACGACCTCCACCAGATACATAACTTGTAACACGCAAACATACTTCCATATCTTAACTCAATTAAAATATCAAAAATTTGAATTCATGTCTTGATAGACGTATGAGATTTTATCCCACTAGATTAAGTTTTTTTTTCCCCATTTAGTATAAAGGCCACCATAAAGTATACCACCTAGTACAGGCAATCTTACACTCATGAAATCATATTTTAACAATCTGAAAAAAAACACCATTTTTTGACATGTGCAATACTGCTAGCTTTGCACATGACATACCCCACACCGACTCATGTCTGTCCGGAACGCGCCATAGCTGTCCGGCACAAGCAATATCTGTCCGGCACACGCTATAGCTGTCCGACACGCGCCATATCTGTCCAGAACGCGCCATATCTGTCCGGCACGCGCCATATCTGTCCGGCACGCGCAGTATCTGTCCGGCACGCGCCATATCCGTCCAGAACGCCTAATATCTTTTCGGCACGCGCCATATCTGTCCGGCACGCGCCATATCTGGCTGGAACGCGCCATATCTTTCCGGCACGCGCCATATCTGTCCGGAATGCACCATATCAGGGGAGTCCGTTTTAATATCGGTTCTTAACATTTCTGACAAAAAAAACATAACTCAATTACACCCGATTACTATTGCTAATAATGTTCATGCTGTACTTAAATTTAAATAGTAACAGTGTGTAGTATATGATGAAAAGAGTTATAATTTGACCACTTCCATATCCTACCCGGTATTTAGCCTTGACCAGAATCAGCCCTCGGGCCTCGGGCCTTTGTGCTGATACAGAGGCCTCGTGTTGATAGGTATATGATTTGTAAATGGCTATTAACCATTTGGTATCTGTGATAAAAGTTCAACACTATGTTCCCAGATAAACGAGCTTAGCTACACTTCAGTAGTGTAATACCTTAGCTATAATGATTAATATCCGTACAGATTTGAGTGCAGAATGGATATGTGTCATGTCACAATGAAAATGTGTAGGCAAGACAAGAATACAATTTACACAAGACATAATACGCAGTATTCATATAGCGCGATCTTTTTCTCGGGGAAATTACTCTAAAGAGCTCAATAGTAAATGGATGACAAATACAAAGATTGAGCATAATCAGTGGAGTTTAGGGGTCACGTTATTATCGGGCATCCTCCTATGTGACACCCCTTAGTACCTCCTCATGTGTAAGGGTACGTTTGTTTGAGGGTATGTGTGCGTGATGGAAGTTGTATAGGTGCTCTGCTTATAATGGGTCCTTTTTTCCAACAGCTCATTGATAATACCAAACCACTTGATACCGAGCCCAGCCTTTACCATACCTTACTCTATAGTGGATAAGACCAAAAAGGGCAGACTGTCTGTCTCAAGGACACACATAATCAGGACCTTAAACTCAATATACCACCATCTGTGTTACAGATTGTGTTTATTTATAATGGCAGCTACATGAATGTCAATTTATGTAACCCTGCACACTTTCATATCACAATGTCAAAAGATTATCGCCTGATGATTCATTTTCTCCGAAAAACCTGATTACAGGTTAGTGCAATCGCATCGCGCTATTTTGTATAAACTTGAACGTCGATTTGTCTTTTTAAATTGTGATCATTAACATATCGATACTCTAGCATACATATAACTGTTGCGGCCATCAGGTTAAGAAGATATTAAACTCTATACAATATACTACAGTAACAGACAATCTGTAAAATAAAAATAAGAATAGTTAGTCTCCGGAAATTGTTTTCGATTTAATAGTTATTTAAATCCCCAAAAACAGACTGCCAACACTTTTAGAACTCCATGAGTTCCTGTATAGACAAATTAAAACTTAAACCTATATGAAGGTTTGAAGCCTAAATAGATATCAGACAAGATCACCCATTGTTTAGCTGTCGGATAGTAACACAACCGAGACATGGTCAATAACGTTATTAGGATATGTTAATTTCAAATCGGTAGCGTTCCGTAATTTGGAGAGATTGTACCGTCGAAAGGTTTGAGAAATGGCCAGGGTAATTAATTTTTGCGAAAATTTTGCAATTTCTGTGTCTCTATATAATATCTGTTACAGGTAGGGGAGTGAGTTAATATCTGTTACAGGTAGGGTAGTGAGTTAATATCTGTTACAGGTAGGGGAGTGAGCTAATATCTGTTACAGGTAGGGGAGTGAGTTAATATCTGTTACAGGTAGGGGAGTGAGTTAATATCTGTTACAGGTAGGGGAGTGAGTTAATATCTGTTACAGGTAGGGGAGTGAGTTAATATCTGTTACAGGTAGGGGAGTGAGTTAATATCTGTTACAGGTAGGGGAGTGAGTTAATATCTGTTACAGGTAGGGGAGTGAGTTAATATCTGTTACAGGTAGGGGAGTGAGTTAATATCTGTTACAGGTAGGGGAGTGAGTTAATATCTGTTACAGGTAGGGGAGTGAGTTAATATCTGTTACAGGTAGGGGAGTGAGTTAATATCTGTTACAGGTAGGGGAGTGAGTTAATATCTGTTACAGGTAGGGGAGTGAGTTAATATCTGTTACAGGTAGGGGAGTGAGTTAATATCTGTTACAGGTAGGGGAGTGAGTTAATATCTGTTACAGGTAGGGGAGTGAGTTAATATCTGTTACAGGTAGGGGAGTGAGTTAATATCTGTTACAGGTAGGGGAGTGAGTTAATATCTGTTACAGGTAGGGGAGTGAGTTAATATCTGTTACAGGTAGGGGAGTGAGTTAATATCTGTTACAGGTAGGGGAGTGAGTTAATATCTGTTACAGGTAGGGGAGTGAGTTAATATCTGTTACAGGTAGGGGAGTGAGTTAATATCTGTTACAGGTAGGGGAGTGAGTTAATATCTGTTACAGGTAGGGGAGTGAGTTAATATCTGTTACAGGTAGGGGAGTGAGTTAATATCTGTTACAGGTAGGGGAGTGAGTTAATATCTGTTACAGGTAGGGGAGTGAGTTAATATCTGTTACAGGTAGGGGAGTGAGTTAATATCTGTTACAGGTAGGGGAGTGAGTTAATATCTGTTACAGGTAGGGGAGTGAGTTAATATCTGTTACAGGTAGGGGAGTGAGTTAATATCTGTTACAGGTAGGGGAGTGAGTTAATATCTGTTACAGGTAGGGGAGTGAGTTAATATCTGTTACAGGTAGGGGAGTGAGTTAATATCTGTTACAGGTAGGGGAGTGAGTTAATATCTGTTACAGGTAGGGGAGTGAGTTAATATCTGTTACAGGTAGGGGAGTGAGTTAATATCTGTTACAGGTAGGGGAGTGAGTTAATATCTGTTACAGGTAGGGGAGTGAGTTAATATCTGTTACAGGTAGGGGAGTGAGTTAATATCTGTTACAGGTAGGGGAGTGAGTTAATATCTGTTACAGGTAGGGGAGTGAGTTAATATCTGTTACAGGTAGGGGAGTGAGTTAATATCTGTTACAGGTAGGGGAGTGAGTTAATATCTGTTACAGGTAGGGGAGTGAGTTAATATCTGTTACAGGTAGGGGAGTGAGTTAATATCTGTTACAGGTAGGGGAGTGAGTTAATATCTGTTACAGGTAGGGGAGTGAGTTAATATCTGTTACAGGTAGGGGAGTGAGTTAATATCTGTTACAGGTAGGGGAGTGAGTTAATATCTGTTACAGGTAGGGGAGTGAGTTAATATCTGTTACAGGTAGGGGAGTGAGTTAATATCTGTTACAGGTAGGGGAGTGAGTTAATATCTGTTACAGGTAGGGGAGTGAGTTAATATCTGTTACAGGTAGGGGAGTGAGTTAATATCTGTTACAGGTAGGGGAGTGAGTTAATATCTGTTACAGGTAGGGGAGTGAGTTAATATCTGTTACAGGTAGGGGAGTGAGTTAATATCTGTTACAGGTAGGGGAGTGAGTTAATATCTGTTACAGGTAGGGGAGTGAGTTAATATCTGTTACAGGTAGGGGAGTGAGTTAATATCTGTTACAGGTAGGGGAGTGAGTTAATATCTGTTACAGGTAGGGGAGTGAGTTAATATCTGTTACAGGTAGGGGAGTGAGTTAATATCTGTTACAGGTAGGGGAGTGAGTTAATATCTGTTACAGGTAGGGGAGTGAGTTAATATCTGTTACAGGTAGGGGAGTGAGTTAATATCTGTTACAGGTAGGGGAGTGAGTTAATATCTGTTACAGGTAGGGGAGTGTGTTAATATCTGTTACAGGTAGGGGAGTGAGTTAATATCTGTTACAGGTAGGGGAGTGAGTTAATATCTGTTACAGGTAGGGGAGTGAGTTAATATCTGTTACAGGTAGGGGAGTGAGTTAATATCTGTTACAGGTAGGGGAGTGAGTTAATATCTGTTACAGGTAGGGGAGTGAGTTAATATCTGTTACAGGTAGGGGAGTGAGTTAATATCTGTTACAGGTAGGGGAGTGAGTTAATATCTGTTACAGGTAGGGGAGTGAGTTAATATCTGTTACAGGTAGGGGAGTGAGTTAATATCTGTTACAGGTAGGGGAGTGAGTTAATATCTGTTACAGGTAGGGGAGTGAGTTAATATCTGTTACAGGTAGGGGAGTGAGTTAATATCTGTTACAGGTAGGGGAGTGAGTTAATATCTGTTACAGGTAGGGGAGTGAGTTAATATCTGTTACAGGTAGGGGAGTGAGTTAATATCTGTTACAGGTAGGGGAGTGAGTTAATATCTGTTACAGGTAGGGGAGTGAGTTAATATCTGTTACAGGTAGGGGAGTGAGTTAATATCTGTTACAGGTAGGGGAGCGTGTTAATATCTGTTACAGGTAGGGTAGTGAGTTACTATCTGTTACAGGTAGGGGAGTGAGTTAATATCTATTACAGGTAGGGTAGTGAGGTAATATCTGTTACAGGTAGGGGAGTGAGTTAACATCTATTACAGGTAGGGGAGTGAGTTAATATCTGTTTCAGGTAGGGGAGTGTGTTAACCATTACCTACGTTATATTAATATCTGTTACAGGTAGGGGAGTGAGTTAAACATTCCCTACCGTTACCAACTGCGTGCGGTAAGCGGAAGTTAACGGGGGAACCCCTGCGGAACTGGGGATTCTCTTTAGTTTATGTCATTTACCAGGGGACACAAAAACGACCTCATTAAATCTGCTACACCTATTGCAACATTTGAGATATCCACTCCATTAAAACTTTGTTTCCTAGTGCATGGCTTTGATGAACGTTCGCCCAGGTGAGGAAGGCAATGGATTTTGTCTCCGGGCTGCGATACATGTATATCGAAGTCTTTAAAAACTGGTAGATCTTATTACTTGTTAAACGTTCAGCATTTCGGGCAATCTCATCAACAGATTGTCAGTATATATATATATGTGTGTGTGTGTGACAGTGAGGAATAATGCCTTCGTGAGGAATATTGCCCTCCGCTTACACGTCCTTAAGTGACCTTAGCTGTTGATAGGACGTTACAATATATACAATCACATTAAAGCCTCCGACATTGCAAATGTACAGTGAGGTATAGCACTCTTAAGTCGGCATCAGATCCGTGGTATCACAAAGAGGCAAATAAACTATCACACCAACACCAGCACACACTCACACGTGCACGCATGCATTACATACATCGACGCACACCCTTAAATGGCACTAATTAGCAGTCAAAGGGACGCGCAACCCAATAAAACCCAAAAAGCACCAAACTGTGTTCAGTGAAATAAATATAATGTAATAACAATAAAGTAAATATAAACACACTTACAATCCGCAGAAAGTGGTTTAAATGTTCAGACTTCGGCAGGTAACAGTACTGCTGGACTGGCTGTGCAGGAGAAAATGTAGAGATGTTCACATATTCTTTTACCATACCAGGAAAACGTCCGGCTAAATTAGCACGTGCATTGCACGGCACAGCAACTAAGTTATTGACTTCACCGGGAAGCACCAGATATTGTCGATAGTCGGTGGTTGGTTTTTGTGTTGTTGGCTGTGGGCGGTACCCCGGCGGCTGTGGACTTTTCGTTAAAGCGTACCATATTCCTACGGCTAAAAGTACAATGTTTAGTATAACCGATAGTGCTAAAATGATCACTAGACCATACAATTTACAGTGTCCAATCACGTTTTTTGGTGTCCGGGGATTATGATTAACATGAACGAAGTCGTTTGTAAGCCGGGTGTTCTGTGAGGTTTCCGGGTCCAGACATTTTGCCGTACACGGGGCAGGAGCGTTGTTTAGATAAGAAACGTCACCACTGTTTAACATTTGACCCTGTTCATCAACGGAGAAACTTCCCGTGCTTAAACACTTTTCCTCGTCCAGTTTAAATGTGTTATTAGATGCCTGAAACGAATGCATATCGTCAAGGTCTTTTTTCTAATCCATATCACTTTCGTTAACCCTTTTTTAATCAAATTGATAGTATTCGCTGTTTATCCAGAACGCATTGGCGGTATCTTCGACTACCGAGAGTTGTATACACCACACACACTATACCACGCGGTCTGTGTTTATCAACAAATACAGATCAACACGCTGAAAAGTAGACACTCCAGCGTAACAACTCGCACACGTCCTGTCTATCTTTGGGTGAGATATTTTAGAAATTATCAAACATTTATGCGATCCAAACATGGGTTTTTGGACGTATTTCTGCTCTGAATAGTATCTTAGCTAAGTTCTGGGTATTTACGTGGGGAAGGGATTCCCCTATTTCTACTTTTATTTCTCCTGTACAATACTGGGCGATTTATATACGTGTGTGTAAGGGCGGTACACACATATGTATATATACTGAGCGATATATATACGTGTCTGTAGGGAGGTACACACATATATATATACTGAGATATATATAAACGTGTTTGTAGGGAGGTACACACATATATATATACTGAGATATATATATATACGTGTGTGTAGGGAGGTACACACATATATATATACTGAGCGATATATACACGTGTGTAAAGAGTGATACTTCATATTGTGCCCTGGTTACCTCTGCCACCTGACATTTTGGATTGTGTGATACTTTTTTTGTCTTATTTCATTTCTAATGTTTTAATTCTATTCTATATTTTTGCAGCATCTTATTTGTACTTAAATTCCATAAATTCAAAAAAATACATTTTTACAAAACTTGATAAATTTTGTTAATTGATTTCGGTATCATTTTTAATTCACACTATAATAGTGTATATTCTGTCAATTTTTATTCTTTGCTATATTAGCATTGTATGTATATTCCACTTCATAGTGTTTTTATCCTAAGTCTTAAGTAATTCTTGTGTGATATACAAGTATTCATTCATTCACTTAACTATGTCTTTTATTTACTTTTTCTGAATACTATACTTATCTGTGATCACATTTAATGCTTTTTATATATTAACACCATTTTATATATTTATTGTTCCAAAAGGGTCATATCCTGGGGGCCTTTGTAGGTAGGGGACTCCCAATCATTTAGAAACCTGGGATATGGATACTTTCTTTTTTAATGATGATTATTACTGGTTTTTTTTTATTAATATATGTTATTATCTCCCTTTACTTGTAATATAATATGTTATTGTTATTTTACATATATTTGTCGCAATAATAGCTCTCAAGAGCTAATGTTCCTTGTTTACCTGTATGCAACGTTAAATAAAGTTGCTTGTATCTTGTATCTTGTGTAGGGCGGTACACACATATGTATATATACTGAGCGATATACATGTATACACGTGTGTGTAGGGCTGTACACTCATATGTATATAAACTGAGGGATATATGCACGTGTGTGTAGGGAGGTACACACATATGCATAGGAATGAGAGAGTGTCTCTTAGCTCCTGCGGTAGGGCGTACTCAAATTTGAGACTAGTAAACCAGAGGTCCCGGGTTCGATGTTTAGAGACTAGTAAACCAGAGGTTCCGGGTTCGATGTTTAGATGAGGCATTGGAAAATAAATCCTTCTGATACACAATAGATACAAGTACTATAGAGTACAATAAAGTTAAAAAGACATTGTTATTAGTTTAGATTATTGTGAAATATTTCGTCATTATCAATATACATATACTTTTGAATTTTTGGGACAAAGAGATGCAATTTGTATAATTATATAAACAAGAAAATGTTGAAATTTAACGGATTGGACTTAATTCTAAGACAGACTTAGGTTTCTCTTTATCGCCTAAGTTAAAGGGAGAATACTCAAAGTCGAAAAACATCGCTGAAACAGAATTAAGCCGTTCAGGGGTACTCGTTGCCTCCAAACATTAATTCCAGCCTTTTATCAGTTATAAAGTTTGTAAAATTTCATTCGACTTGTTTTATTACGTAGTATTGTACTTACACTATAGTACTTTAAGGATAAATTGTAATTTGTATTTTTGGCACCGGGGCCAGGTTACATATGGAATAATGAGGAAGCTCTTGTTTAATACACAGTAATACAGTCAATGCTCAAACTGATATCTTACCTCATACTACACTTTATTAGGTAGCTTACTTTATTCAGAAGCAAATATCATTCGAACTAAAAAAATCCCACGCTATTTCACTATGACAAGGAGGAATTCCTTGGTGTATCGCCGTCTTGCGCTGACTCTCGAGGTTTCTTCCGTATTGTGTTCTGTTTGAATTGTCACAGTTTAAAAAAAGAGGACATATAGGAAGTAATGATATCATGCATGTCCCATTTCTAAAAAAATCTTCTTCATTGAAAAGTCCAAGTATTTATATACACACGATTATATATTTATATCGCACACTTCATCGGTTTCCTGTCCTACATGTACTCGTCTTTACTGAGGAATATTACCAAGAATAAACCATGCTTTCAAACATGTGTCATACATAAAGCGTTCTTTATACTTATCTATATAAGGAGTTCTATCGTCAAAGTCATTGTTTATGATCCACAGCGGGAATCTTTGATCAATCAGACGGACACTTGGTCTATCAGATGGTCCGTGAATATAGCACTTCGCAATACAAACATTGATTTTTTTTATTATTATTACTATAATAAAAGTATAAAATCTAGGGGTTTTTTGGGAAAAAAACAATCAGATATATTTAGGTTTTCGTAAATGACTTCAATATATGTTCTACAGTATCTGGACTTAAACTTAACATAGATAAGTGTCGATTGATATGGATCGGAAACAAGAAATAAATAAATTTTATGCCCTGAACATAAATTTGATTGGTCTTCAAAAAACTTCAAACTTCTTGGTATTATTTTTTCTTTGGAGTTATCTGAAATCATTGAATTAAATTTTAAAGAAAAGCTATCAAAAATAAGAAAATTGCTTGGAATGTGGTCTAAAAGAAATCTTACTCTTTTAGGAAAGATCACAGTTGTTAAAACACTGGCACTACCACTTATAACACACCTACTGTATTCACTGCCAAATCCAGGTAAAAAATGGATAAGCGAAATTAACACAGTTTTTTTTATAGATTTATATGGGGGTACAAACCTGACAAATTCAACGGGATACAATGATTCTAAATCTAATTTTAGTAAATTTGGAGGGGAGAGATTATGGAATCTGAAAAAATCAAAACTGGAGGAAATATCGAAAAATGTAACTAATGTTTTCTGGAAAGATGTTATTTTAGCATGGAAAGAATATAAAGATGATAATAATGAAGTATCAAGTTTTCTTGGTGATGCTCTTTTGAATTACATACCAGTTCCTAGTTACAAACAATTTATTGAATATGAACGGAATGGGGTGAAGACAGTTAAGGACTTGTTGGACAATAATTATCAGTTTTTTGTCATTCAATGATATGACTAAATGTGGGAAAATGAATATTTTACAATATTTTGCAGTAATAGACCACATTCCAAGAGAAAACTTAAACATAATACGACAACAACCATTGATCAACAATCAATCAGAAAACAGTAATCTTTTAAGAAGACTTCTTCAAGCAAAAGAGCTTAGATATGTTTATAAAGCGATTGTTGCTAACTACAAACATTATCCAGTTGAAAGGCATGAAAAATGGAATAGAAAGTTAAATACAAATTTAAATGATGATATAGGTTGGAAGAAATTTAATTTAACAAGCTTTCTGGTGACAATTGACACAAAACTTCAAAATCTACAATTTAAGATTCTTCATAGAATATTAACAACAAACAGTTTTCTTTACCAAATTAATGTTAAGGATGAGGATCTATGTACTTTTTGAAGAGATGCACCAGAATCAATTGAACACCTATTTTTTAACTTTGTGAAAATAAATAATATATGGAATGATTTAATAGCTTGGGTGAATGACTTGAATAACAATATTATCATTATTGATCATATGAATATCAAGTATGTGTTATTTTTTTGTGAAAAGGGTCCATGGCCACCTATCATAAACTATCTCATATTGATTATTAAATATTATATCTATACATGTCGATTCAAAATATTGAACCGTCTTTCAATGGTGGAAAAAGACGCATTATTCAACAACAACAGATTGAAAAAAAGATGTCTTCTTTGAATAACACAATGAACAAATTTAACCAAAAGTGGTCTCCCCTTAATATCTAAGAAAAAAGCTTTTAATATCAATTGCATATCAATTAACTTAGTTATTGATCCGAAATTAGACTATGATAATTATCGGCAAATAGATAACCCCAAGGCCAGAGATAAAGTTTTAGGACTTAAACAAGAATTAGGTATGATAGATACTTTTAGAGAATTAAACCCGGATACAAGAAGATAAACTTGGCGTAGAAGAAATCCATGTAAACAGGCAAGATTAGACTACATTTTTATATCCGATGGACTGCTCCCAAGTTTAACTGCTTCGTCTATTGAGCCAGGATATCGCTCAGACCATTCCATGTCAGTTATAAGTTTAAGCTTCACCAAATTTCAAAAGGGGATGGAGTTATGGAAATTCAATAATTCTTTACTTCAAGATTCAGAATATTTAAATACCATTAGATCTCTAATTGTGAACATTGAAAATTAGTATGCAGTACCAATTTACAATATGGACAATATTGAAGATGTTTCTTTGGAAGACTTGATGTTTTTAATTAATGATCAACTGTTTTTGGAAACTTTACTGTTAGAAATCAGAAGTAAGACTATTTCATACTCATGCTATAAAAAAAACACCCAGTAACGATACAGAGAAAAAGTTTATTGAAGATATTCAGGAACTAGAAAGGGGGCACTATCAAGTAATATTGAGTTAAATAATATTGACATAAAAAAGAGAGAACTAGAAAAGTTAAGAAAGCATAAATTAATGGGCAATATGATACGTTCTCGAACAAAATGGATAATTGAAGGAGAAAAGCCAACTAGGTACTTTTGTGGACTAGAATCTAGAAAATTCACCAGTAAAATTATTCCAAAGATAGAAAAAAGATGATGGTATAGTGATTTTAGAACAGACAGAATTTCTAAATGAAACAAAACTTTTTTATGAATATTTGTACAAAAGAAATACTGCTATACAGGATGTAAACTTAGAGGACTTGTTTAATCCATATGATATACCTAAATTATCTCCCCTGGAATCATTATCATTAGAAGGACAAATAACTATATCTGAAATGGCAAAAACACTAATGAAAATGAAGGATAATAAAAGTCCTGGTTCTGACGGCTTCTCTGTTGAATTTTTTAAAGTATTTTGGAAACAACTTGGGCATTTCATTGTCAGG